TACTCTTAAATACCACTGAACTAATCTTTTTGGTTTCTGAGGGAGTGGACGGAAAACTCATTAGTGCTCCATACATTTAGATACCACTGAACTAGTAAATTTGGACAAGCTACCCAAGCTATTTGTCCTGCTTTCCTAGGTGTTCTGAAACTCAAACTTTTTAGAACGCTAAACTTCAGCAATCAGGCGATTCTTTTACAAATGCTATTTGGGAGTTGCAAACAGAATTCTGAAAGAATATTTTACTTCAACCTCTAAACTTTTTGTTTGCCATTAATAACTTATCACTGATGTTGGAACAGTTTTCTTGGCTTTAGAATCTTCCTGGTGTTTGTTGGTCATTTACTCTGGTCAATTATTGATGAGCAGCCCCCTTGAATCCTTGATGTACAATGTCAGGGTGTGACTTTTCACTTTGCATTTTTTTTCATCGTTGGGGTTCAAATGCTTGCTTGACAATATTGTTTTTTATCCCTGTAAACGCAGTTTCTAACATGGACAGTGGAACATAATAAATATGCATGAACATAGTAACACGGACAGTGGAACATAGTTTACATCGAATATGCTCTGAAAAGTTTGAAACTAAGGCAAAAGAGATGCATGATAAGCAGGAATTAGTTCCTAAATAATCACTCGTCTTTTTGTGGCTCTTGTACTAAACGTCTACCTAGCCTTAATCTTGTACTTGTAGGTCTTTGCTTTTGCAATGCTGAGTGCTGGATCAGCTGCATCAGGAGTAACCAATCTGAATCGTACAGGGATCCGACATTCAGCTCTTCCAAATTTCTGCAAACCCTTGCATGGTTTCTGCGACCGGGTTGCAGCATCAATAGCCTTTGCATTCTTGAGTTCTTTATTCCTTGCCATTTCAACGGTTCTTGATGTCGTCTGGCTGTCCAAGTACTAGAGCTTTCTATTCTTCCTGCATTGGCATGTAATTATAATGGCTCAAGGCATGTTCTGACTGATTCAGCGGATTCTGCAGTTCAAATCCATGCTCTTGAAATAAACGAAGACTGACTTTTGACAGCTTAATCTATGATCCATCTGAGAGATCATGAACATTTCTTCACTAAAGTATAGCTCAGAAGTCGGAATATCTTACGTGGGTTCCTTTTTTTTTTTCCTCTTAATAAACAAACTAGTAAAAAATCACTTCTCGGTCCAGTTCGAATAACGTTAGGCGCCACAGAAGCATTCCAGCATATTCTTATATGCTGATGAATGATCTTTTCGGAACCATGTATAATATATTGTATTCTTCTACAACTTTTGCACCGACAATAACAAGAAAACAAATGTTTCTCCCAAACCAGCCCAAATTACTGCTACTCAATATAAAGTAAAACTCAGAAAAAAAATCGTTTAAACTCAACCATATGGGAAGTGATTGAGACAGCCGCATGCAGTGCTGGGAGAGGGAATGTCGAAAATTGCAATTGACCACAGAGACATTATACAATTGAATTAGACACCAAACATCAAGTCCACAACTTTAGACACCAAGGATTTGGCAGGAGCGGCAACAGTCCCGCCGGCTTGTTTGCTGGCACTTCCATTCTGAAGATAGTATGGATGAGGGGAAGCTCTAGATAAATTTGACTCTGAGATTCGATTAGACGGTGCAGGAGGTAAAGTCATGAATCCTAGATTGTTGATCCTTTCATTCAGAGCCTGGCGTTGCATTGGATCCACAGGTTTCACCCCAATGATGAGAACTCCATTTATTTGCATCCCATTTTTGCTGAGGGCTTTTAGAGCATCAGCGCGATTCTGCACCGCAAGGCAGTGACGTTATGTTAGAATTACAAAGCAAGGTAGATTAATGTATTTGCCCAAAGTATAGATATTGAACTAATTCTTGAAAGCTTCAGCTCAAGGATCTGCTGCAACTATTCTGTCGACTACATGACAAAAGTCTAAATTATTTGTGTGTGGCAATAAAGAAGTGAAACCAGCTGCTTTTACTTTTCCAAATATCAGAGAACAAAGTAAGATTAAAACTACAGGGTCAATCATCACAAGGAGGACTTGGCACAAAGCAGTCACTAGTGAAAGTGAACAAAATGCAGGTTTATGTCCAGCCATTCCTTCCAAAATCACTTAACAAAAGATACAGGAAAATAGCTATCTAACAAGAGAGTGAATTGCAACAGAAATGAATACAAGTGGGAAATCAACATAAATCTTGGAAGCAAGCTGCAAAAGTATTCCGGTGTTCCTAGATGAACAGACAATCCAGTTCTAACACTTCTGTCAATGGAAAGATATATTTCATGCTTTCTCTAAGGACAATTGCAGTATCAAAAGCCCATAAAGAAAGCAGACGCTAAAAGGAAAAAAAAAACTGTTTTCTCCCCTGAAGTAAAAATGAAAAAGAACTTGTTGAGGCATTCTCGTAAAGGAACACCAGGGACACATTCAGAATTCCAACGTCTTCTCTGTTAAACAAGTACTTGCTCTGACCACCATTTTTGGTTGCCAAGGGGAAAGAATTTAATGCGTCAAAATGGAAAAACAGGAACTTCCACTCCATATCCTAGTGCAACATGAAGCCATCAACACTAAAAGAACTAGACCATTTTAATACAAAACCAAGGAGCCCTTGATTGTTAACCTTATCGTAATATTAACCTTATCATAATATTCAGCTACCTGATAGAGAATGTGCATCCAATTAGCATCTCTTGGTCCTGGGACATGTTTCAGAATCACCCCGCACTTTTCGAATTCCCGCAACACTAAATTGGTGTCTATTGGAGAAAATCTGTAAAATGAAATGGTTGATAAGATACATTAGGGATCAATAACATTTAAATATGTGGCCAAAATAACATATTATCTCTATATGATGAAATGTCTAATTAAGAAAAAGTGATAAAAGATGACCAAAAGAAAAGTATCAGAAGCAGATTACCCAACAGCGCAACATGACTGATATCATATAGTCCCCATCAGACAACTTTGCTTATGAAAGTTTACCCTACATCCATTAACCAAGTCTACTTCCCAAATAGATTTTCATCTAGAATTGAAAATGTCGATGCCACACACTTATAAGAGTAACTAACTGACAACCTTGTAATTCACATAACTGAATTGATCAAGCCATTTCACCCAATTTTGACAAAACTAGATGTAAACATTTTTTTAGCTTTTTCCTTCAGGAGGTTTACTGGCAGGAGCTGCCAAGGGCATACAGACTCCAAAGAGACTATGATCCTCTGAAAACCTACCTCTGTATTTTAAATATACGGACTACCACAGTATAGATCGGTAATAAAATGTAACACTCCAGAAGATATCAACACTCTTCAGTATGTAGAAAGCTATGTTACTAGGCTGTTGCTTTTTTCCATCCATTGATTCAGTCTTAGTAAAACTAACCCAAATATAAGTTCAACAATACTTTGGAAATTAAGAGACATGAGAAACGAAGCAATACCCATAGACAGTCACCCACTCCTCCTCATCCAGGCTACCTATGGGAACTGAATTCTTCTTCATCTCTGGTCTTGCAACCTCCCTAGGGGGTGGGAGGGTAATTAATGCACCAGGCTGAACTACACCTTCAACAGGTGAGCCTTTTCCCTTATCCTCCTGCTCAGTACTACCACCACTCTTCGAAGGCGACCACCAACTCAAACTTGCCACTGGGGTTTGCTGACTCTGCTGCTGCTGCTGCTTTCCCATGGTAGTAGCATAAGAAGTGCTGGGTCCAGACTTGCTCTTAGGAGTTGAAAACTCCCTGCCAAAACTACGCAGTGGTGTTCTTGGATCTGACCCGACCCCAGGAGAAACTGGATAGTCAGGAATTCCAGATTCTGGAGATAAATCCGACCGGTCTTCAAGAGTGAACATTGGTGGAGGCGGAAGATCAGAGTTGGCAAAATTTTCACGCCATAGGGCCGATACAGCGGCTGCCTGACCCGGGGTTGCAAATTTTCCGCCAGGTTTTCTAGATGAAACCGGTGTAGCTAAATCATGGAAGAATAAAGACTGCCTCCCGGATTTGGGAGTTCTCTGTATTGTTGTGCTCATTTCTATTTTACACCTTCTACAAAAAAAAGAAAAACACTAGCTCAATTTCAATTATTTTAATCGCTCACTTTTATTTAAACAGATTTGTAAACCACTGGCATAAATTCGAATTCATACGCCAATTTTGTAATCAAGAGAAATTAACCTCTATTAAGCAGCTATTATAATCAGTTTTCAATTCGGGGTAAAAATGCATAAGCTCCAAATTATGTGGAAAAAAAACCATTAAACTAAGGGGAAAGCAACTCAAATGAGCTGGAGGTTGAATCAATTACAGGAAATTCCAGCCGAAAGATCAGCGAAAAGAGATAAAAAAAAAAGAGTTGGATTACCTTTAATGAGGCAGTGGAGTGGTGGAATATTGCTTGGGGCCTTTGATTAGGAGATTAATACCGGGACTTTGAGTTGCCCCAGCAGCAAGCAAAGCAGGGGGATGAAACCCTAGACTCGTCCAGTTTTCATCAGCAGAATTCAAACGGGTAAAAGGCGTCCGCTCAACGCTAAGAAACGAGACCTCGAGAATTTTCAATTTTGAAGTTTCCAATGAAATGACTATTATAGCCTTTCGTACATAATTGCAACCATGTACAAAATGTATTACTATTAGTAAGTAAAAAAATTCAATCAGGCAAAACTAACGCTTGGCTGCTCATGTGTTGTTAATGATGAAATTCTGTCCCGCATGAGGCAATACATTTGCATTTTATCCTCAAACAAATCAATTGACTTCGATTTCTTCTCCACCGACCCCCTCCCCCTCCCCAAAACCCTTTTTCTTACTACAACAGAAAATCGAACCTCCAAAATTGATCATTTATCTTTCCCTATAATTAATTGAAGCCGCGAGATCCTATTCATTTATTCATTCAACCCAACTTTATTTTCTTCCATTCCAAGGATTGGAACCAGGTTTTTTTTTATTGATCCAATAAAAATGAAATATTTTCAAAATTCTCCCTCAATTCGACATACTATTTTTTCCATTCATTCTCTTTTAGGATCAGTCGTGATCTTCCAAACTTTACCGATGGTACATAGATGAATCCTTAGTTTCATCTAAATATGTAAAAGATACTAGCTGCACTTATAAGTCGAGTACTCTACTGTTGAATTAGTAACCCGAAGAATAAATTAAAATAAAAATTGTTGCCAAGTCTTGATGCCTTCTGTTCCCAAGAAGCATGGCAGCAACCCTAGTGTATGTCATCTATTATTGTTCCACTAATCTCTTTTTGCTTGGTGGGATTATCTTGTGGAGATTAACTTGTCCAAAATCAGAACTCCGTTGCTCTTGTTTGACGTTTCCTGCACGGACGCATACATTTGTAAAGTTGCTTTGGACTAATATTGAACATTATTGGCAACTGCCAATTGTAGCTCGATATCTTCTTTTCAGGTAACACTGCACTTCAGTTTTTGTGAATGGGTGCGTTCCAAGTTCCAACCCACCCGACCATACTGATTTTCTTTCTAGCGAAGTTCGAAAGTCATTATTGAAAATACATACAATTTTCCATAGAAAAAAAATACTATGAGCACTTTCCAAGATTGAACAAGAACAATCACGATTGCCTTTCTTAAAGTTGAATAAAGGTGCTATTTAATATTTAGAAGGGAGCGGAACCAGGCTCCTTAAGCAGAGACTGATTTGGAGAATCAATCGTGGTAGAAATGCATGAACATTGGCAGCATGTCTCAGTTATGCTATTGATGATCTTGTCCTTAGCCTCATCCTCTTTGTGTAGCATGTCTGTTTCCTGCACAACCATTACCATTTCCTTGATTGAAGCAACTGGTTTAAGTCCCTGAAAATTTACCACACATATTTCGTATCATCCATCTTTCTAAAATTGAAAATCAATCCGAAAAAAGAAACTTAATAGTAACTTTGGTGCAAAATGGATGTTTTTCTAGTTTCATGATGACGCAGTTCATCAGTAGGCAGCACAACCCTACCTCGACCAAAATGCTAGATGCTTCATTTTGTTCCTTCTTCTGCATTATATCGACAGCAACTTCCTGCACTCAAAACATTTAAAAGAACATATGTAAGAAGTGTCTTTCGTGCCATGCTTTAGTCATCCAAAAGAAAATCGATCCGACAATCTCAACCAAATGAACGAAGATAGTAGTTATTTATTTATCATTCTTAATAAATGGCAAGATTTTGGGTAATCCACTTGTTGTTACAAGAAAAATGAAAGAAGCTAAGCTTGTAATTAGACTTCCATTTTTTTTAAAAAAAAAAGGATGGAGGAAAAACACCATGAGAAAGAGACTTGACCCTAGCTTGGTCGATTTGCCCCTGTCTCAGGGTTCTGGGCTCCAATTCAATAGAACAACAGAAGTTCGCCATTGATGAGACACCAGCAGACTCAGAAAAGTTGTTGCAAATGGTTTGGGTCGTAGCCCAGTGCAAGTTCTCAATACATTTGCCCCATTCATGCATATTTATATAGATGTAGCCCATGATGATGACATCGTTCGGCTTCTTAGTTGGAATCACGGAATCTAGTGGACTCTGGGTTCCGAAAATTGAGGTGGAGAAGCAAAGTTGAGCTTCTTAGCACTTGCAACCCGTGATTAGGGCCTGACAACGTTCCCTCCCTGGTTAACGATGGACTGGCTATCTTGAATCTGAGCATGCACATAAATTCACGAGGTCAACGCTTCGTGCAATCAATTGGTTAGTTAGGAATTTGAGATGAGAATTGATCAAATATCGTGCTATCTTTTTCTTGGTGCGAAGTGCTGAAGGACTAAAGAATCACTGCAAAAATTTGATCTGCCTTCTACAGTAAGTAACTGGAATTACTAATTACTATACCTTTTCTCCTTTTAATTTTATTGAAAGCTTAAACAATGTAAATTGCAAGTAGTTAAAATATGTACTATCAATCCAATGAAATAAGTGAACCTACAATTAAGTTTTTCTTTCTCTTTTTTTCTCATAATATTTTATCAATAGCGAGTTTAATTGAACTCCAAAATTAGTAAACTATAAATCAAGTATCCATCCAACTAATTGGCTAACAGGCCATCCGCGGGTAATCCGACTGGTTTCATAGTTTTAGTTACTAATAGATCTCGCGATCGACTTCCATGTGCTGCCTTACTGTATATTCTTGGAGCAAGGGTTTATATAGTTTTAGGGGATTAGTCTGGCCGAAAAGTTGAGATAGCCCCAAGTGAAAAAAAAAAAAACTAATTGGCTAACAGCCCAATTCATCCTATTCATTTTGACCGAGCATAGAGCTATGTATTTAATTCATTAACTAGTCCACACAGAAAGGAAGTTGAGCCTTTGGACAAACTATATATATATAGCGTGTAGGTTTTTTTTTTTGGGAGGGGGGGGGGGTGATCTTGTAGTGTCGATTTCAAAGTTCATAAGCAACCTTTCTTGTAACTTGTGAGTTGTAACCAAAATATGACACCATGAGTTGATGTTTCATTACAGAGACTTTTAATGTTTGCCCTTAATTATTAAGCGATTAAGCTCCCAATAGCTCTTTTGAGATCAACGCTTTCTTTGAGATCATCATTAAGTAATAGTAGTAGAACGTAAAAGAGCGAAAGCTCGTGCCGGCACGTTATGCAAAATGAACGACCTTTAAAAGCGCGCATAATTACCATCCTCATTTGATTGCTTCTGGAAATACTAACATGCAGCAAAATGCTTCAACAAATTGTAGAATGGTCCGTATTAATTGCTGAACTATTGTAGTGGATCTAGGCACGTGTCCAGCTAACAAGTTGATTTCTCTTTTGTTTTTAAGGAAATAATTACCATTGTCCTGTGGTCAGAGGCTAAGTACTATATGTTTATTTCATACTTTATCTCTCCCTCTCTGCTAATTTTTCCAGTCAGCTGATGGTAACATGGATATCTCTTCGGTTACAAAAGTACGCTTATTGTTTGAGACTGTCTTTCTCATTTGATATACCTATGGAAGTATATATATTTATTATTCTTCATATCCATTTCATACATGGTGTTCTTCAAATTGCGCATTTCGTACCGCATGTATTCATTCATATGAAGCTTCTCCTTTTGGTTATTTCGCTACAATAAATACAAATACTTTGCGCTCCCTTTTTGGCTGAAGCATGGCAGGCAGCAACCCCACGGACCGATGGTCGATCCGAGGGATGGGGCCATTCGCCCATCTATTCTAGAGTCACCTCTAGTCTAGTTGGCCGGCCGGCCGGCACCATGTTCAGCTCAACTCCTCCGCCTTGTTTTTTGCTAGCTGTGCCGAATGTTATATGGTTCAGTAATCAGCATATATGGCTTATACTTGACGGCCGACTTATCTTATCCTAACATTTCTTTCAGTAATCAGAGTCGTTGTCAGTGAAGCAATGGTTTTTCTTTTTTTTTGGGTGGTGGGGAGGGAAAATGGTAGAGTGGAATGTGGAGGGTAAAGACTGGAGACAAGAACAAAGGCGTCCGGTCATCAAATAACATGGAAAGATCCCAAGACATGGACACAGAGCCATTGCTAAGACACACACTTTGGATATATTATCCAGAACAGCCTGCACAAAACAGTCGTGCCCGTCACTCACTGCATGTGCTGCTTCTTATCTCCCACATGCACGTCCGTCTCTATATTACCTGTACGCCCCCCCCCCCCGGGGCCATCATTTTCACTCATCAAAATTGAACCCACAACACAAATCATGGAAATTTGAGTTGATATACAATAAGTACATACGATACGATCTCTCCATGCATGATGCATGGTCCCGGGCAAGTGAAACTTTTGTGACCTTTCAATATGTACATACATTGTACTTTCAAGTACTAGCATGTGTCTTGTATTCTGATTGTTTCCTCATCAGAACAAGTAGCTTGCGTGCATTATAGTATATGCTATGATAGATGGGTAGGCCGCTCCAATTTATTGCTTGCCTAAGTTCTAAAGAGGCGGTGTCGGCCTGCTGTTTCTGTTTTCTACCATCTTTTTTACTCTTTACCCTAACTTCTAAAGCTAATGAGACAAGACGAAAATCAGACGAAGTTGTTTGCGTGCTACGACTATAACATCTCTCCACTTCTCATAATTTCATAATCCAAAAACGCTCCCTCTTTTCCTCTTCCATTATTAATATATACATATAATAACAGTAACAGGGATGACATTTCTTCCCGTTTGCCGTTGAAAAAAAAAGCATATGAAAATGGATATATTGGTAAGTGAAAATACACCCAATAACCATAAATATAGGATCAGTAATACAATAACTAAGCAGAAAACTGTAGAAATATAACTGTATAGGTAAATAGATATATAAATATAAGTGCACACGTATATACAAGTAAAAACATAAATAAAGTATACATGAAGTGTGTAAGTAGCAATAATCAATATGTATGTGTTTGCGTGCGTACAAATATGTCTACACATATCTACAGATAAGTATCGGGTTAATCTTATTATAATTCACCTATCAAACACTATCTTGGCTTGGGAAAAAAATTAAACCTCTTTGGTAAAAACTCTATCGGCTGCTTTATTTTTTGTACCAACAATTAAGAATGGTTTTCCTTGATTTCCCGCTTGAAAGACCAAATCACAAACTTCTGATAAACCACGAAAAGTTCTAACAAGATTTATAATATAAATGCCCTTACACTTTGCAGAGATATAAGATGGCATTTTAGGCAATGCTTTTAAACTCGGACCGGAGAGTGAGCCGAAAAATCTTTCGATTCACAGTTCGACCCGGTTGAACTTCTCGATTTTTACCGATTCAATTAATTCTTGGGTTTTTAAATTGAACTGAACCGGAGGCATGGTTGGTCAATTCGCGGTTTCACTGGTCGAATCGACCGGGTTGGTCCGATTTCAAAACATTGATTTTAGGATCCCATTTTCTAGTACCATGGCCAATATGAACCCTTTGCCTCTATCATCTCGTCTGAAGTGATGTTCTAATATCTTCTAGTCATTTCTCCTCATATTTTCCCTTTTTTTTTAAAAAAAAAAAGAAAGAAAAAAAAGGGACTTGAATTGAAATATAAAATTAATCTGACGGAACCTTCTATCCTAGCATAGATTGGCCATGCACAAGATCACTTTTTATTTTTTAGCATTTCATTTTCATGAACTAAGATGTAACCGCCTCCTAGCTATCCACAAAGACTGAAAAATTTCATCTAATTAACTAAGGAATAACCGGAACTGAGGCTAAAGCCTAACATATTCCATTTGCTAAACAAAGAATGGCAACTTATAGTTTCAATATTTAGTAGAACAACGTTCAAGAGGGACCATACTTTTCTTTGGTTATCATGAAGTAGTACTACCACGTTGCTTGTGATCAATGCGTCATTCTAGCCATACTAATGGCATAGTCTCATAAAATAACAAGATTTGCATTTACATATTGACTTGGATATTGTAGTGGGACCCCTTGGAAGGGAAAATGTCTAGGATCGGGTAGACAATTAAATCACCCCCAATGTCACAGTACCCTCTTTGATTAATTTTTTTCCCCCCTTCAACTATAACACCTGGGCATTCACGATTTTTTTTTTCTTTTAATGGCCTACAGTAAATAATCATATGGAAAATGTATTCTGGGTTCTTGCAGCTTCTCGGTCTTTTCCCACATTGATTCGAACCGCACTCCCATGCAGCTTACTTCGTACGCTGCACGATGTTCTTAAACTTCTTCCCTCTTGCAAATCCTCACGTCTGAAATAGGTCAATTTTCCACTGAAATGCATACCGGTGTTGACTTTTGCTTCGTTTCTTGTTAGGTAAGAGAGAGTTTCCAATTAATCTTTGACTTCAAGCTTTCTCCCTTTTTTTAATTACTTTTTACTTTTCTGGACAGCGTTCGAAAGCGGAACCGAGATGATTAATTAGTCGTTGGACTTGGGCATTCCACTTTTTTAAATACTAATAAAAAGCAACACTAATAAGTGCTAAACGTACACTTGGAACCCTTTATTAATGGCTTTTCTTCAGTACTCCACGATAAAGCCTCCGTAACTTTAGAATTCATACGGTAGTTGAGCCCCAAAGGATCCCGCCACGTGCAAATGCCGAAGCTTTTAAAGAAATCTGAACCATACTCTTCCCGTTGTTAGCGTGGCCCATGGCCTTGATAAAAGTGTCTCACCCAGCTGTATGATTGCGTGCCACTTTCTTTCCAGCAGATATTTCATGATCCTTCTTTACTTTGTCAACGACCAAATTATGATCAAATTCTTCCTAATTTTCTTAAACCTCAGCTAAAGCAGTATTAAAAAAATACACTAATTTAGTAAAAAAAAAATCAAATGAATTAAAACCCAAAATTAGCAGGAAATTACACAAGTCTACAATTAATTCGCCATGTTCTCCTTCCATTTGTCCTTCTAATTAGCTGGAAGCTGACATTTTTTTTTTTTGTTCGGCTCTATTATGACTAGTTTTGTTTTGCTGCCTTTTCCTGGGTCAAATTCAAATCTAAATGGTACTACTACTACTT